TTAGAGAGCAGCCAACGAAGAAGATGGAAAAGCACCCTCAGTTACTGAAAAGAATCTTTGTCAGCAGGAAGTGGTGGTGCTCGACCGGGGAATATTTTGGGTCCTTGTACCAGAGCTACAGATCAGTTTTTCAGAATTCGTGTATCTAGAATTGAATCGGATGGGGAGGGAGTGCTGTCTAGAAAAAACCCTCGCGAACTCCTAAATTTCAGCTACGCTTTGCGAATTCATTAGACCCGACGAGAATACGGCGCCAGGTGTTGGGCGCCTTCATAGGACGTCGGCGGTAGGTGTGTCAGGTGTGGTCCGGCGTCGGAGGGTTATCTGATCATCCCTTCGGGGAATTTCCCTTCGGCACAAACTCGACTACTCTGCTTTTTGCATTTTTCATATGTTATTTGCAATTGAATGACAGTATAACGTCTTCCGTGTAGAATAGCGTATAAGCATGGATAATTTATTATGGATCTTTCTAGATCACAGAGCAGATGTTCGCTGCAGGAACCTTCCGGGGCTGTGGCGGAAGGAATCTTAAGGGACAAAAGGTTGAATGACAACTTGATTCGTCTATTATCGGGTGAAGGGCCCGATACTCTCAACAAAGCTCTTTTGCCATCACTCTCAAGAACATCCAGGAACATTCTATAGCAATCGTGGGCGGAAGCATTCGAAAAAAAGTTTCGCTCTCCTGCTGAGAAGATTCCTATTCAAAATATTGCAGGACTTATCCTTCAACCTATACATACATTTCTGAATGTGAAGCTATTACTCTCCTGCGTTTCCCTAGGAACTGAATTTCCTTCCCGTCGAATGGCCCTTGAATCAAAATAAGGGGCAAATCAACTGGCACTTGGGAGCTGATGGCCATACCGAGGCCTACCTCGGCTAATGCCCAATAACATCAGCAAAATGAAAATCAAGGGCACTTCGAAAATCGCTACTACCAGCAGCCGTCCAGCAACGGAATTTCGGTAATGCTTTACGAGTTTATCAGACTCAACGCAAATACGTCGTTAGGCATTGTGCGTCCATATGGGCGGCTGATAAGGAGCATCCTGTGTGTGGTCCGGAGTTGGAGGGTTATCCATTCAGTCCCTTCGGGGAATTTCCCTTCGACACAAACTCGACCACCAATCGTTTTGCAATTTTTAAGCGTTCAACTGCAGAATGATGGAACCTGGTCATTCTGACTAAATTCTCCAGCCTTTTGTACCGTAGGCACAAGCTTCAACTGACGCCTTTCCAATTATTTCTTGACCTTCAGCTTTATCACCAGTAAGGCTGCACTCAACACCTGGTGCTTGACGACCCAGTTCTCGCAATGGGTAATCTGGCAGTGCTCACGACATGCGTCTGGGCTAGCGAATTCTAATTCCTTATGCCCGTATTTCCTGCTCTCCAATAAGGGGAAATCTGTGAAGTGTAGATCACAAGGAAAGTGCCTCCTTAATGCACGGAAAACACCCAGAGAAAAATGGGAAACATGGCATCGAGTGGGCTGGCACTCACCTACAAGGCCAAAAATGCTGGGTGGCCTCATCTATAACCGTTCTTGCGTCTTCTACTCAACCTCAATTGCAACTAGACAAGATCAGCACCGTATCTGTTACTAATCCTATTAGTGAACATCACTGAGTGAGAAAGGACAGACAGCAAAATTTTGCTTCAGTGAAAAGAGCTCTGGGTGTCGGGTCCTCCATGTGCGCCGGTTCTCTTTACCTTTCTTTCAATGATTTTCACGGAGCATACGATCAGTGCAGTGTACGGTGCTGTGGCTTGTACTATAGTCGATGATCACAGACTTACATTAGACGGCTTTGGCGTAAGCAAGATGGTGCCAGCAGCCCATTGCCCAAGTCACTCCGATGAGCTCAGCTTAAGGTGATGATAGCACGGACTAGTGAAAATCATTGCTCCAATGACACTCAGTGGTATTGTAACACGGTTACGTGACTACTTGAACTCTCTCTACGTCCCTGACGGCAAGAAGCTATAGCGCAGAGAAAAACACCCCGGGTGAAGTTCACGGCGGTGGTGGTGGGGGTCCCATTGGACAGGCGAGCACAACACTCAAAGAACACATCAAACGGGAGTGCGCCAGACGAGGGCAGAAAAATGACGCATCCGGCAAA